GATCGGTCCATCTCTAATAAATACTCATAATAATACAAAAGAAATACATTAATTCTTCTTTTTTTTTTTACTGTATATAAGAGTTTTACAGGACTAACACTGTGAGTTCAGCTGCTGCCACCAACTTTTATGACATGTCACATTCTCCTGTAAAACACACTCTTATCTCTTTATCAATAAAATGAACCAAACTTTGACCTTTAGGATGTTTATCCTTTGCACTACTAAACCTAAGGCCCATTCATTAAGGATCCATCAATTTTCAACAAACTGAAAGTGGTTCAGACTACATCTGAAAAGAAGCTATGAAGATTATTAATTCAATTCTATTTTTCTTATACAAAGGAAAAAAACACAGCCAGAAAGAATAAACACATCAGTAACTTCAAATAAAGACATTTAAAAAGGAATGAAGGACTTGTGATGTTGCTGTTGGTCTCACTAAATGGTCAAAATAATGAAGGCTGCTCTTTCTGAGCCCAGGACAAAGAATCCTAGAAAAACAGGAAGTGATGAGTTATAAATGAAAGTCAAAAGGTCTGAATGTGTGATGGCGATGTTGAGATTAGCTCTATTTAAAAAAACAAAAAGACTGCACAGGTCTGCACTAGTGGAGAGGTTAAACTGCACACAGAAAGATGTTCACACGTGGCAACAGAAGCTGCATTTCCTCTTAATATGAGTGTTTAAAAAAAGAAAACCACTCAATAAAAGGAAAGTCGCTCTGCGTTGTGGTTCTAATAGTTTTCTTCCCCCTAAAACTCTTTAACCTTGATGACATGTTACATCTACTTTGAGGTTTAGAAACAAATCTTTGGTGCTCAGATAATCAGCTTTTAGCCTCAAATTAAGACAAAGCAAAAAGTTTTGTGTAGGACTTTAGCTCTGACCAGTAAGCTTGTACTTTAAAAAACAAACAAACTAGTCTTTTTTTTAAAAATTTGGCAGAGTTTAAAAGAGTAAATTTTGCTTGTCCCTCTACAAATCACTTTCTATATTTTGAAAGTACAGTGGTATTCATATCATATGCTATCTGCTTAGCAGGTTAATTAATTAAATTTACAGAAAAGGGGTTCTGTAAACTGTGCATATGCTACAAGCTGATTAGCTGACAAGTGGAACAGCTGTGTGTTTGTTTCAAGGTGACCAGCAGCTGACTCCACCCAAAGGAAGTGACCTCACACCTGTTTTATTCATTGAAACAGGATGATGAAAAGCTGTGAGCGAGCGTTTTGAGATGCAAACACTCACTCAAGAAGAAAGAAACTGGATCAGACTAAAAGTTAGCCAGTTGTTTTTATTTTCACTTATTTAACAGGATGGCTCATTTCAATAAAATCAATATGAAACAGTAGAAGATGGAAACCTGCCAGATTTGAGCTAAACTGCTCATTTCCATGTGTCGTCCATGGGCAGGTCACATGACTCTATCCAACATGCAAAGACACACAAGAAAAGCCAGAGAAACAAAGACAAATCCAAACAATCCATCATACTGAGTCAAAGTGATCACAGGTCTGCTTGTTGGAAATTACATTAAATGTTACACAAAGAACATAAAAGAAGTAAACTTCATAAAAACTTCACAAATGATGCTTTAAATGAAAAATAAATCCCTGTAAATGATTCAACAGGTCACATGTTAGAACCACCTTAACTAAACTCTGTAGCCGGTCACTGTGGTTTGTCCCAGCAGCTCTTAGGAAACAAACTGCTAACTTCAGTGTCAGCACACACTGTTAGTAAACTATGCAACACTGAATTCAGGTTTCAGTTGTGTTAAGTTGTGAAGTTGTGATGAAAGTCTTCTTACTGACACAGGTAGGATGGTCAGGCGTCCTCTGTTCCTTCACCGTTCATGAACTGTCACTTATAAAATGC